GCCGAGTCGTGGGGAGGCTACTGCGACCGTGTCAGTGAAAGACAACAAAGTCAGGGGAACAACACGTACTTGATCCACAACCAGGCCATGCTCGGGGGTAACTCACCAGCTTGGCATGACACCTGTTCTCAGAGACTGGTCACAGTATGCTAACGAAGAGCGCGAAATGGGAGTACTTACTAGTACTCACTGTCGGCCACCGTGGGAGCTGTGTCACCGTGGTTTTCAACAACGAGGATGGACCGAATAGTCATGTTCGTTGCAGTTGGTGGCAGAAAGTAGTGGTAAAGGCTCTGAGGATGGGGACGTTGCAAGGTTGGCTGGTACTGCGAGGACCCGCGTCGCCGTGGCGGTCAACGATGAGAACACTGGAGGCAACGTCACCTTCGACGTCCTTCAATGGTTGTGGTTGGTGGAAGAAAATGATGGTCTTCGGGTGGTCTTCCGCGGACCGAATCAAGACGACATCACGGGCGTAACAGGTCTTCGTCACAATGCGACAAAGGTTCGCATTTTGGGAGGGCAGCAATCGAAAAATAATGCCGCGACGAAATACTGGTATTTGAGGTTGTTGATGGTTCGCGTTTTTAGGTTCGCATTAGAAGTTCGCATCTAAGGTTCGCATTCAGAATGCGAACCAAAAATTTCTACTGTCGATGTCCTCACACACTCCTATCCAGCATGAGCGTATCAGAGAATAGTCGCGGGTCTGACATGTCGCACTACCGATTTTGTATACCCGTTCCACTATATCATCCCTCGTGTATTTCGACGGGGCGTACGCTCTGATCATGTGATCGCGTCCGCAACTTTAATTTCCTTTGCGCGCGTCGCATGTTCTCCAACAGCTTTATCTGTTCCTTGTCGCTCAAATGGGCTCGGTACCTGAAGATCGCCAGCTAGCATCTCAGATGCTACAACTCCTTGCCAGGAACTCATCACTGTCAAGAGGAAACTCCAGGAATACGAACAGGTACGTTCAGCGCACACTTTGGTTTCGTCTCGATTTAAGATACCAGTTCTCATTTGAAGGGGTCGAGGTCAAGGTCGTACACAGCAGATGAGAGACTGGCTCAAGCAGAACAGCGTGTTCTTTCCCTCGAAGAAGCAAATGTCGCACTAGTCAACGTTCTCGGCTCCTGTAATGACACTTATCCATGACCGCAGCTCCGACGGCTGGCTGTTCCTGCCCGCCAAATATATCTGGTGGAATCATCCGGGGGATATGAGTGTGCCGTCTCAGCATGCTCTATTACTGGAGGCCTCCCACGAATATTCCTATCTTCCTCCCCGCAAGAAATGGGGTTGGCTCAGAAACCAGAGGTTTCAAAGCATACCGATCGGCCAGACGAGAGGGGTTTTCTTTCTGGGAAAGGGGGGAATGGCTGGGAGCTCGATGTTCCAAAATTGAATCAAGAAGAATGCTTGAAGGTCGACATTTCGGTGCGAATATTACTATACGTCCTCCTGTCTTACTGACCTGGATGCTCAGTTCCGAAAGCAGATGGCTCAACATGTCATCCAGTCCAGGGCCTCGATTCCACCACTGGCAGCCACCCTCATCGAAGAGATGGTCGAGAGTGGTGTCATTCTTCCTATGTGTGTGGGCATGCAATGTGTCGGTTTCAACAACACACTCTACCGAGCGCTTTTGGATGCCAAGTCGTCCTCAACCAAGCCGTCTGTACCCATTCCCACTCCTGGAATGAGGCTACGATCAGCTCAGAAAAGAAAGACGAAGGAACCACTGGAACCGCCGGCCACCAAGGTAGTCGGGAAGCGAATCAAGTTTGCTTGAGGATCATCCGTCATGTACGTTACACTACAGATTAGGCACCTGAACTCGATGTAAAGCGATTGCATTCATGCTCTACCGACGCAACCGGATAGATACTTAAACGAGTTCGTCGTAATGAGTCTTCCCCATAAGCACCCCCTTATCGAGCGCGTAGGAGGATGTAACTTTCCATTTGACTCTCGTGTGGGAGTTCTGGTCAAAGTCCGCATTCGACTCATGGGTCGCAGTGTCTAGGATATACCAATCTCTGCATGGATACTTCTCATGCACCGATGTATCTTTCTGCGCAGCCTTTGGATATCGGTGCTATTTATACCTGATCACGTGTACGTGATGCGTGACGTTTCCACGCTCACTTATGTTTCTCTCAGGATGTATACAGTTACCACTGTCCTTGTTCACGTTCCCGCCGAGGACGCAGAGTTAACATGGACGCCGTGACCGTAGATCCAGAGCTAGCATCCCAGATGCTGCAACTCTTAGGGCAAGAGCTCCTATCACTCAGGAAGAGACAGCAAGACGATGCACAGGTGAATCACCCCTTGTCATTTGGCGCGCGCAGAGACCCATTTACTTTCAAGCGTGGTGGGTCGCAATCGCAACCGATTGATTTCGAGAGGATACGTCGACTTGAGGACCACGCTCAGCGCCTCGAGGAAGTCAATATCCACCTGACTACGCGGGTCGCCGACCTTTCCACGGAGAACAGGCGTCTCAAGGCGGACTCGGACTTAAAATCAGCCCCTGAAGAAGTCGACCGAAAACCCGACGTAAGATTCACAAATTCACCGATCCTCCTTTCGGTGCCCATTGACATGGCACCTTCACCTTCTCCCAGATGGAAATAATGCAACTTCGGCGTCTTCTTCAGGAAAGGGACAATACGATCCATGAGCATGTACAGACACCATTCCTTCCATCCCCTCACCACTCTGATGGTTTGGCTTGTCCCTACAGTCGGAGCAGAGGACCAGGTTGGAGGAAGAGCTGAATTTTTTGAAAGTCAAGGACAAGGGACGTGAGCAGGTCATCCTGGAGACACGGAGCTCAACAGCAAGAGCTCATCCAACGTACGCCTTCCTAATTCCTCCTCGCTCTCCATCCGCTTATCCTTTGATCCAGCCATCACAAGAACCCCTTGATAACAGCCAACTCATGGTCAAGCTACCCATTATAGCGGACAGACCACGGCAGGATGACTTACTTCCCTGCTTTCCTCGAAGCAACATGTCGCCAGCAACTCATTTAACTCAGGTCCGCTTCTTGCTTTATTTTCTCTGAGTTCCGGAGGTTGATGGGCAACGTCCGTAGCAAATGAACGCGCTATGGTGAGTACTATTACTTCTGAATGAACAATCATATAAATCGGCTCCCACACCATCCAGTACATCCGATGGTTTCATATTCGCCCCGGATCTCACCGTTTGGTGTCTCCCTGCTCCAGGAGATGCAACCCCGCCTCAGCATGCATTATTGATCGAACCCCACTACGAATACCGTTATTTTGCCGAGCAGAAGGGATGTAGTTGGAATGAACGGAACACAAATTTTCAACGGTTCGCCGGTAATACTCGCGAGTTGTTCTTCCGAGCCAAAGGAGGGATGATCCATTATGCTGGAACCTACAAGTGTCTTTCCCTATCCAGGCTGAGTGGAGAAGAGTACCGGAGATTGCCCCTCGGGGTATGTGCATTGTCAAATCTCTGGTTGACGGATAGTGCAAGCTTACACATCATCGACATCTACACAGGTTCAAAAGTATTTACTTAGCAAGGTTCTCACAACCAAGCTTAGTACCCCACTCCTCGCTGCATCTTTGATTCAAGACTCCTTCGAAAAGGGCGTGATTCTTCCCCTCTGTCTTGGCCTGCAATGTGTCGGATTCAACCACGAACTTTACCGTCTTATGCTGAATGTACAGAAAGGCAGTGTTCCCAAGAAATCGGCACCAGTACCAATTGCAATTCCGGCCAATGGTTCTAAAGGGGTCCCGAATCCAAACAAGAGGAAATCATCCGAGCAAGGAGGTTCGAATAAGAAAGCCAAAGCTACGTAGAGGGGCAGTCGTTTTTGTTTTCTGTTCTTCGCATAGAAAATGTACCCTTGCATTTCATACGTTGCTGGTACCGTCTACTCCATCCCCCATGGATAGGTCAATCACTGGTTGATTCAGGGTTCAGTACCTGACCGGTTGAATGCCTCCAGGAGCGCGCACCTGACGACTCAATCGACTCTGGAAGAAACTCTCTCGTTGAATCCATTCAGCGGAAGGCAAGCTTACCGAAGCGACTCGGAGCGAGGCGTCAAGAGGAAACCAATCAAGTTTGCCGAAGTGAAATCTCCAGGATTCCATGGAGGTTGAAAAACATGTCGCCCTGGCGAGTGATCCGTTCGGTCAACAAGTCAGACTACGGGCATAGGTTGACTGACCGTGTGCGAAAAGATCAACAGAACTTGTTCTTCGGGTCTGGATCAACCCGGTTAGATGATTGAGCAGCGGAAGGATCTTGTCGTTCGCCACGAGTCCTCTCGGACTGAATTTTCCCTACCTCATCCGTCTGAACACTCTGCAAACCATCAGTTCGCGTGATCTCAAATTTTGATTGTGACACTCTTGCAGACTCGGCCGTCGTCTGGGCAAACGGACGGTCGCGAGGGGTTGACGAGAGGGGTATCTGGCCGCGGGTAGGTCAAAACTTGGGAAGTCGGACATGAGTCAGTGCGAAAAACGAATGGATGGACAGGCTGCTTACTGTGGAGAGATGACCGAGGATGACCAACATGTTACCGTCAGTTAGATTTCCCTCGCGATCTTCCGACGAGATAACGAGCGAGCGGGATTTTTGGCTTTGTCGATACCCAATTATCAACCGAAGACGTACCAAAGGCGACGATGAAGTGCCTGAGACAAATGCGAGGGAAGTTGGAGTCCCACTTCAATCATGCGCGAGGAGGTACCGCGATTTAAGTGCAGCGCAGGTTGGACTTGCTCACCACGGAGGGGGGTGAGATCGATGGAATGGACAGTCCAATACATACCACCTGTATCAAATTTCTCATTCAAATAGGACATGGAAATGAACAAGAACCGAGATATACCTAAGGCTTGATAAATCGGAATTGTGGTCACGAACATCGGGGAGCCCTGCAGAGTACGAAAATGTAGGTGAGTGGGGCAAAGAAATGAGGTGCAAAACCAATCCGACGCCTACAGGACTCGAACCTATGCTCCCAAAGGGAAACAGATGTATTGAATTCTAATCTGTCGCCGTAACCACTTGGCTAAAGCGCCTTAAAAGTAGAGCGAAAGAAGTCCATCACAATCTCAATGCAACCCAAACTGATACAGTGATTCACAGACAACTTGAACTTACGGCAACGAGTCTCTGATTTGTCGCCGTCTTGAAGGCAAATATGGGGAAGGGTGTCCTGCTTGACCTTGGTATTCTTCCTTGTATAAACCCATTAATCTGGAACGATAACAAACCCCTAAAGTAGGTCAACTTCTCCAGCGTACCATGTCGAGATGAAATCTACCTACCATAGTTGACCTCTCTGTTCAACCGCCAGGTCGTAGGCTGAGACCTCGAAGGATTGTCCAAGTTGGCTGAGATTTAGTCCACCCCTCATCTACGAGCACTTTGTCTGTCACTGTTGTTTATTGGTGCTAGACATGGGATGACTAGCTCCAGATAAATTACATCGATCGTGTGAGCCACGAAAGACACGAGTTGTCGACGGCAAAGCAGCAGCGCAGGTGGCGGATGGGGGCCACCGCTTGCCACGCTGCTGGTTGTTGCTGGACAAGGTTTTGAAAACGGCTGTGCCAAAGTAACACAGCACTGCCAGCAATGTGAGACTGGAACAGGAACATAAGGAAGACCTACGAGCGAAGTGGAGGGGAGAAATTTGACGATGCAAAGCTGCTAACCGAAGATTAAACAAGGCAAGGTGAAAGCCACAGACAGGCGACATGCGACAGACCGCCCGCATGCCCCTCATGTCATGAAGGACGTTGCCAACGTGGAGGATGTCGAACTGTCGCGGTAACCTTCGTGCGGCTGTCGGGGTGCAGGAGAGAACGAATTGCGGTGGAGCGCACGTGGATCGTGCAATAGATGACGTGCACGAGTCCGTCATTTGCAAAGTTCGGCTGCGGTCACAAGACGTTCATTCGCATCCTTCAAAAGGCAGGTCGCCTCGCCGTTGCTTTCATTCTGTCCTCTCTTCCTCCCAACTCCCACCCCCTTCGTCCGCACCAACGACATATTGCACGTTATTCTTACGCCGCCGACATGCCGCCCACTGAAGGAACCTCTTGGAAAGATGGCTTGCTCCTCAAAGTACGTCGAGTCTTTCGCGAGGAACGTGGTTCAGTATTGACCGCGCAGTTGTCCAGATTACGAACATTATAGTCTACTTCCTTTTCCTTGGTTCAAACATCTTCACCATTGTCTCGCCCTCCGGGATCTACCATTCTGGAAAAGAGACCTACATTACCCCGGCTCCTTGGGCCTTTACCATTTGGTGCGTAAATATTCAGCCGAACTCATTCTTGTCTGGACTGAATTAGTCTGCAGGTCTTTGATTCACCTCCTGTTGCTCGGAACTATCATCTACCAATTCTTCCCTACTGGAAAGGTGGTCATCGTTGACGGCATCTCCTGGAGGCTCCCTCTCCTTGGCGTTCTGAACGCGATCTACGTAAACCTTTGGGCTTCGCAACATTACGTCGTTGGTGCGTTTCCGTCACCCCTTTACACCCTCTTTCGCTCAGCTCATGCCCGTCCTATCAGCTTTCATCTTTGCTCTCTTTGTCTCGTCCGCCGTGACCCACATCTATTACATCATCAAGAAGTATCACGAACCTCAAAACATCAACGACGAGATCTTTGTTCACCTCCCATTCTCGTTGTACCACGGATGGACAACCGTTCTCGTCGTCTTGACCGCTTTCGAGGCATTTGGTGTAAACGCCATCAGCCACAAGGCTGGTATCTGGACCAAGGTCTTTGTTTTCCTTGGCTTGTCAGTTCTTTACTTGCTCTGTTGAATGTCACTGACACCTATTTGTGAATACACAGGTTCTTCCTCGAGGGTACCGCTGCCACCTACGCCTTCACTTCTCTTGAAGGCGATCTCCCTGCTTCCATCTCCATCGCTTGGTCCCTCTTTGCCATCTTTGCCCATCAAACTTCGTCCAAGTTCATCCATTGGTCGGCTTTGGCTTTCGCCATCCTTGCCTTGGTCTGGGTCGTCAAGGGATTCTTTGGTGTTGGAGCTAGGATCTCGAGGGCTAGGGGCGGAGGTATTGTTCTCGAGGACCCTGAGAGGGCTCCTCTTGTTGGTGGAAACTAAGCATGGGTGGCGTGTTGGAGTAGGAGGCCGGTGACATGAGATGAGTGTGTTGATGTGACGTAGCAAACCGTCGTTGCATGAGGTCTCTTTGGCTTTCTAAATCTTAGGATCGGACTGTTTGATTGAACCTTGTTCTTTCTCTGTAACACCATTGTTTGAATATATGCACGTTGCTTTCATGGAATTATATCAGAACGTGATGTTTGCGAAGAGTAAATGGTTTCTAGAATTCTCCCGTAATGCGGTACAAGCGGGTTTAGGCAGATTCGGATCAAGCCACATGCTGGGATGGCATAGCTAAATACGATACGCAACGAGGATACACGAAGGTGAACGATGGAGGCTCCGTGAAAGGAGTCGTCACTTGGCCAAGTGAGAGGACACAAAGCGATGGGCCATCGCACCAGACCGCAAAGCAACGGGGTATGAAGGACAGCGGGCTCAGTTCGCGACGGAAGTCGGTGCCTTCTTCCTCTTCTTCGAGGGCTTCTCAGCGTCCACTGGTTCAGCCTCCGACTTGCGTTTGGCTGGTTTCTTCGCGGCCCTGGATGTAGACGCCGCCTGAGTTTGAGGGGGAGCCCTCTTCTGTATGAGGGACTTGTATAATCGATCGTTGAAGCTAACCATCTTGATGGCGGCGCAGCGGACTTTGAGGATCCCAATCCCGTACATTTTGTCGATGAGGCATAGGAGGAAGGGAGTTGTGTGCATGTAGGACGACAGGGTATTGATGATCATCCTGGATTCCTGCTACACACATTGACGGGGTGAGCTACAGGTTGGGAAGAGGTGCGGTGGAGGTGCTTACTGTGGTGGTTAGTTCTTTGAAGTCTGAGTATACAACTGTCGTGGAATCAACACACTCAAAAGTACCCTCGTACGACAAGCCATGTGGATGTTGAACGAAGAGTTCACGTTTTTCACCAACTGGGAAGCGGGGAGCGGCGTGTTCCCAGTCGCCGAAACCGCCTTTGAGGTTTGCGTTCCACAGAAATGCGGGGGAGATAACTATCGCGTGTGTTCGGGGACCCTCGGGCCAGATTATATCGTAGTTGTTTTCGAGGCAAAGATGCCCACCTGGAATTCTAGCGAAAATCGAGTTGAGACGCTGCATATCGGGAGATAATTAAAGGCGTACATGAGTTTCTTAATAGCCTGCGATTCGATCATATTAGTAAATGTGCGAGGAATGAACAGATGTTTTATCAGACTTCGTCGAGCAACAGTGGAGGTTTGGTAATGATTTGGGTTCCGTTCGGATAGGGATGACGTGGTCGCAGACCTATCGTTGTCGAGAGGAAAATCGAAGGGTCAAGTACAGCCTGATTGAGGTGAGGTTAATTCCAGAATATAAGCCCTAGTTGGATGTCGTAAGGTCACCTCTTGCACAGCTGCTTCTGCCAAGGCAGCGGACAGCTCAAGGTCGGCTTGGGTTTCGGACTGTAATGCTTGGAGAGCAGTATATGCCTGCAGACGGATCTCGAAATACTTTCACATGGAATGGAAGAAAATCGCGTACGGTCTTCAACTTGTCGTATCGTACGTTCGATGAAGTCATTTTGTCCTGGGCTGAACGAAGCTTGCTTTGGAGCCTTGCCAACTTCTCCTCCTATAGACAAGTTGACGCAATATCAGTATAATCCAGAAGGATATTCAACGACTGACATATTTGAGCCGAGTCACTTCTCTCCCTTTCAATAATTCGTCGCGCTCCTGGGTAACTTTGGAGAGTCGGACTTGGAGGGTCTAAGTCGGGGTGACAGTTAGGGTAATTCTTGCCAGTGGGAGCGAAACGGAATGTGGGTTGCCAACCTCCTTCACATCTAGCTCGTCGTCTTGAGGCTCAGACAAGTGGCTGGTTCGCCTTAATGGAGCTTCCTCGGTCGCGGAGCCTGACATCACTTCATCATGATGCGAGATACCATGCTATAAAGGTGGATCGATCAGAAGAGAGAGGTAACTTCAAGTGCAAGTACTCACCGCGAGCAACAAACCTCGGAGACGATCATTGTCATTTTTCAGAAGGCGCAGCATTTCTTGCACCAACTTTGACTCGTTGTTCTCATCCTCTTGTGAAGACGGAATACTTTCCAGTTGAGCCATGGACGAAAGAGTCTGCAGTTGCATGAACGTGAGTCCACGGACACTGGCTTTCATTTCCAAGTAACCAAGTTGAAGCGTAGGTCCGACCATTCGACAAGCGAAGGTGCTTCCTTACGTCTTCGAATTCGTCACCTTTCTGAGTCCTTCATCCCACTCGAACGCGATTCATTGGTGGTCCCATATCTTCTCAACCAGTGCGCCGGTACGGTGCCCAAAGTCGTCGCATACCTCAATATTTTCACTGGGTCGGTCGGGCGAGATGACTATCATGGCGTTATTTTTCCTCTCCTCCGGGAGTTGACCCACGAAGAACTGGATTCTAAATCGGGGAGCTAGCGCTTAGGTCAACCCAACTATCCGTCGAGCGCCTGTTTCTGTTCTTATCGGATGCCACGAATGGCATGCGTGCTGTCACGTACAGATTATCTCCTCCACTCCCTCAGTTTGACTCACCCCATCCGTGCTGTTGATATCGGGCGGTGCTACGATGGACCAACATCTCGTGGACTTGTCTCTCGATGATAGCCAGCTCCAGAACGCAGAATTCCCACTCACGGCCGAATTCCTCCCCCGTCTTCGACGCATTCGAGATGCTGTGGACAAACTATGTCTTTTCAAGGCAAGCAACACGCTTTGAGACTATCCCCGAATCCTGATGTCTGTTGTACCTAATCAGAGTCTTGCAAGAGAAATTCTGAGAGTCTGCGATATCTATGCCCATAGGCTAGATCGTGAACTCCTCGATCTGAAGATCGATCGAGGAAGCGTTGTTCAATCTCTTCGGTATGATTCAGGATTATTCCATGTCGACTGCCCTCATTGGTTGCATTC